CTTAATCTACTGATATTTCAATCAATTACTCACCCATATGCATTCTCCGTGAACTAAATCTTCTCACTTTGTGCGAGTATAGCGCGCGTCGTGCATTCCCACCTCGATATGAATATTTAAGAGAATATAGACTTTCCCCGACCCTGCCTAATGAATATTCATGATAAAACAGGAATCCGGCCTCGCCGTGGTACGAAAAAATAAAGACGCAGCCCGGGGATTCCCCTCTTATTCGCGCATCACGTGACCCACCCAAACGTACAGTCGCCATTTTCCTGCCAGAAACGTGCACACGTACTGTCACGCCACACTACTTTTAAGTCTATAATCGACGACATGCTGCCTTTGTAAACCTGATCACACTGAAACAAGATTACTGGTTAGTCTATTTTAAATAATCTTGTTCCTTGTTTATCATTATGTTACTACTAGATTTTAGACTAACTCCAGATCCAGGAAGCTCGCCCGGCCCGCTGCTAAACACAGGCGCCGCCGACACCGAGGCCGCGACGCCTGCGGCGCCGGTGTCGGAGCTTCCTGGAGTTACTACTAGTACTAGACCTAGATCTACTAGTCTATGATGGAATGCATGCAGTTTCAAACTTGATGGGGGTTAATTGAGTATAACCATGGGCGGCGGCACAGGGGGGGGGGGGCAGGGGGTGCGGCTGCACCCCTATCATTTTGAAAAAAGGGAAGAGGAAAGCCGAAAGGAAGGAGAAGAAAAGAAAAAGAAGAGGACGAGAAGGAGGAATTAGGCCAGGAGAAAGAACTATAAAATGTAAATTATGACGTAAGGAAGGGGGGAGGGGGGGGGGGGGAATAAAGATAGAGAACATAAAGAAAAAGATAGAAAAAGCAAGCCAAATTAGGCGATCAGATTTTATTAATAGACGCGTCATTACATTCACATTAAATTAACGGAAGTTCAAACATTGGTTTACGATAAAAAACCTTTCACCAAAAAGAAAAAAAATCAAATTAATCCCATATATCTCCTAAACCTTATGGCTGATTGTTCAATTGAAACGACAAATTCATCCATAACAACCCTTCTGAAAAATATGGCAAACCCCCCCCCCCCCCCCCCCCCCCCCCCTGTGTTCTTGTTCTTGTTAGTTGAACTTAAAAACTGTTTCCTTTTTAATTTGGCAAAAAGTATGCACCAAATCGAGCCATTTATGCATCAATTAAAAAAAAATCTTCAACTTCTGAGGTCGCACATCCCCCCAAGATACCCCCCTTCGTTTTTGCTCATGCATGTTGAGTTGAACTAAAGACTGTTCTTTTTAATTTCGCATAAAGTATGCACCACATCAAGCTTTTTATCCATCAATTTAAACAAAATTTTCAACTTCTGAGGGGGAATATCCCCTCACTGGCTCTCAGACACCCCCTGCGTGGCGCGCCCATCCGCCCTCCCTAACAAAATAACCTAGCGCCGCCCCTGAGTATAACTATAGATTGTTGTTGTTGGTAATAGTTTAATGGCGTTCATTCAGTATTGAGTATATACGCCATATCTTCAGTTTTATAAGAAATTCAGTTATACATAAGAAAACTGAGAATGAAGATTTGTAAGGATATAATCAATTAGTCTCTGGATGGTTTGCAACTTTGTGTTTCTGCTTTTTTTAACAATAGGCCTACTCGCTGTAGTTGTAGTGTTGTAGTTGTCCTTGTTTTATTTGGTTACAGTCATCATTTTGATTCTTGTTATCACCTGTATTCCCTTTAAAGGACAAGTCCACTCGAAAAATAACAGAAAAATCAGACAACCAATCAAACAAAAGTTTGAGTAAAATCGGGGTAGGTTTTGAGTAATATATATTTTTTTAAGTGCTCACTACCCCACCAACCCCCCCGCCCCCACCGTTGAGCAAAACAAATTGCTTACGATACATAGGCTACTGTATCGTATGCTGCTTCATTTTACACGTTTGGCGGGAGGTTTTTTCATAAACCGGGAGATTGCGGGACAGCGGGAGATTGAGCATGGTGGCGGGAGACTCCCTCCAAATGCGGGAGGGTTGACAGCCCTGATTAAGGGCTACTTCCCCCTCTCTCCCCAAATGGCAATGCCAATGATCTCATTTTCTACCCCTTTAAAGTTATCACTTTATTACTGGATGTACTGGAAAAATGCAGAAGATCTGCAGTCAAGTTTCCAGGTCTGTTTTCCAAGGTCCATCTTCCTTCTCCAATATTTTTGATCTGATGATCGATGTGACAGTGTCAGTGTGTAATAAAATTGCTTCAATGTTAATTTAATTTTTGTCCTCCTTTTTTTCTACTGTAGGCCTAAATGGTGTAATGTTTTGATATAAATATCGCCCCTAGGTGCTTCCAAAGCTAAGAACTTTGAAAATTAGCTTGTAACAAGACACTAAATTTGATTAAACATGTACATAACGAAAATGGCCTAGAAGGGTGTCTGTGCCGATTCAAAGTCAGCTGGCCAAACTCCAATGTCACTGTCATGGGTAATTGCCATTGTGACATGAGAGAATAAAAAAATAGCACTATGAACATAACGGACAAAGAAAGTGGACAAAATATACAGTTCCTCAGGTAGATAAAGGAACATCCCTTCACTGCTATTACATGTATGTAAAAATGTGTAGAACGGGTGTCACATGCATATTCAATTTTTACATAATAGCAGTGAAGGGATGTTCCTTTGTCTACCTGAGGAACTGTATATTTTGTTCGCTTTCTTTGTCAGTCATGTTCATAGTGAAGGCTTGTCCATGATGTAGTTATTAAGAAAAGGGATGGACAGAAACAAGAAATGTATAGTGAGTTCATTAAAACATGATGTAAAACAGTTTAACACACCAAAGCATCTCAAATTCTCAATCTAACAGAACGATGTGAAGAAAAGTAAATGGTACAGATAAATACACAAGAAATATGTACAGTGGCAGCCTAATTAAGTCAAGCAATCATTTATAAAACCTAGGCTTTGCCAAGGCATATATTTTAAGTATGTGTCTATAGGGCAAATAAGTTTATAAACTTTTGGAATGTATGATTTTTGGGAGGGGTCGTCTCTTATCAATTTCTGTTTATTGATAATAATTATAACATTTGGGTCTGGGCCTATGACTCATGAGTATGATTTATATATATATTGTTTTGTATGTGTATAGACTCAAATACATGTAGCTGGGATTTATGCAATTATATGAAAGCCTTAAAGCTAAAGACCAGTTCTGGTCATGCGATTGCATTGTGAAAGAAACGTTGTGAAATCGATCAGAAAAGGTTGATCATCTAGCATATAAGTATTGGTGTGTACTGCAAGAAATTTGGCCCAATCTTCGTAAAGTTACAAGCAGTGTACACAGAAAGATGTATATGGGACTACGCACACGTGCGCGATACGTGCGTTTATCTCTCACACACCAATATATAAACTAATTTACCAAATATATCAATTAGTAGGCGGTTTCCCGGCAATTTTTTTATCATCGTGTATTATTCAAAACATATTCTTTCACATGATTGGTAATAAGAGCTTCCATTTCATTTTTTTGAAATTGGGGCGTTTCCAATACTGGTCTTTACTTTTAAGGATCTTTATTCAAACTGTTTTATGTTCATTATGTTTATATTTCTGAATATTGTTTTCAGGTTTTGTTTTCAGGTATTGTTGCCCATGTCATATCACCGTTTTCCAGAGGACTACATTTCTGTCGAGTGAGAAGGACATCTTACACAATGGATGGATTCTGCCTTCTCTATTTGCTCCTGATCCTCTTGATGAGATCTGGTGACGTTGAAACCAATCCAGGTCCGAACACAGCAGTAAGGTATGGATTCTAGTAGTTCCTTCGGGGGTTAACAATACAGTTGACTTCTGGGCCCTGTTTCATAATTGTTATCGATAACAAGTTACAATAATTGTTATTAGCTACTGAAATTGTGGCATTTGATTGGCTGAGAGCAGATTTGTCATAGAAAGTTAGCATTTGTTATTGATAACAAGTTTTATGAAACAGAGACCTACAGTGAAATTACAAAGTTGCAAAAGAACCAATCAAAATGATAATTTTGCCCAGTCTTGCTAAAGTCACATGTACCATACCTGCCAACCCTCCCGAATAATCCGAAATATCCCGAATTTTCAAAATTTCAATTGTTTTTTTTTTTATTTATTTTTTTAAAATAATTTTTTTTTAATTAAAAAAAAATAAAATAATTTAATATTTTTTTTGATGTTGCTTAAGCCAAATTAAGCTTGTTTTATCATATGCCGCGATGTGAGAGTTCAAGTATTGCGTGTGTTGAAGGGCTGCATGATTGAGCAGTGAATTTGTATTCGCTTTTTTGCACAGATTTACTGCGTATTGCCAGTTACACTGCCGCTGCATGTGCGAACGCCTGTTAAGGGTACAGATTTCTTATTTTCGAAGACATACCGTGCTAAAAAATCTTAATTCTCATTTTCAAATGTTGGCAGGTATGCATGTACTGGACACAGAAATTGTCGTGAATGCGTCAATGTGACACTTAAAATCATCATGTTATCAAACAAACTTAGTGAATACATATTATTCAGGATGCTGATGATAATTATGATGACGAAGGTATAATGATATTATTAATAATAATGATAATAATCCTCATCATCATCATCAATTCTAGTAATGATGGTACATGTAAACAATATCATTATTTTTACAAGTAGTAGTAATCCTTTTGTTCTTATTATTTTCATCATCATTATCATTATTATTGGATTTACTGACATACTCTGCTTTTTGGGGAATAATCACCCTTGCCAGAACAAAACCGCACTCACCTGCAACTTGGGCAATATATGTTTCAAATGTTAAAATCACATGCAGGCATTATATTTTGATATCCCCAGAATAGTATATTGCATACTAGAGCACTTATGTAATACAAATTGTTGAGTGTCACATGATAGCTTCTCAGCCAAGAGGATGCTCTTTAACTAATTTGTACCCAGTTGATTTATTATTCATTTTACAGTACTGTCAGTGAAATGGAGTTCCTGAAGCTGGCCCAGGACATCGCTCCATCTTACTATAACGCTGTAGGGATATCTCTAGGGTTCTCCTATGCTCAACTACAGGCAATCCTGGTTGAGAATTTGAAGAACTACACCAATGCCTTACTGGATGTCTTTATGAAATGGAATGTCATGCAGCAACCTTCACACTCAAACACACGACAGCTTTTGGCAGACAAACTACGAGAGATTGACTTGGGTTCCCTATCAGACGGATTACTCAATGGACCTCCAATTCCAAACAGCACAGGTAAACAGATTTTAATTCTTGCTACACCAGAAGACATAGAAGACCATTCATAAAAGTGAAGTCAGTTTTTACCATAGAGATAGTGAGTGCTCTGTGTTCTATTCATTTGCCACAATTTACAGAAGTGTCAAGTTTTATCAGGCCCTTCGCATCTTTTCATAATTTTACTAATTTAGCTTTGTTAATCCTAGCTATTTATCTGGACACCAATATAGTACATGTACAAGTACTTTGAGTGACAGCAGAATTTGATATATGTCAGCTTTCTTAACATGCAAACGTTCTACAAACAAATTATATTTTTTTGCTTCATTCCATTCTGAAACTATAATTATGCATCCGCCCACCGAAGATGGAGCCGGAGAAAATATGTTTTTGGGTTGTATGTCCATCCGTCCTGCTTTTTTGTTATTGCGATATTTCAAAAACCACTTAAGGTATGAACTTCACACTTGGTGATAGTATTTATCACCATAGGAACTAAGGAAGATAATCTTCAATAGATTTGGGGTTTAAGGGCGTCATAGAGGTAAAGTTATGAAATTACAGAATTTACTCTCATGATATGACAGAACCACTGGACGTATGAACTTGAAACTTGGTGTTATCATGCATCACAAAAGTGAGAGGAAGTGGTAAGATTTTGGGATAAGTACAGTGTAGGTCAAAGGCCAAGGGCCATGAGGGTCAAATTAAATAAATTTGTAGGGTTTTAGCCTCATTATTGCAATGTCTCAAGAATGGTTTGAGCCGCTATATTGAGACAAACTGATTATAATGTCAGGTTAAGAGGGTAAAAAGTCAGCAAAATGAAACGATTATCACCATACCAATAACTATTTTAAGTTTATATTTCCTGCATCACAAATTGTTTGGTTGAGAGCTCTTCATGTGATTTTGCAAAAAAATACTATTTACGGCTAGCAAAAAAACTGTAAAATCTTGAAATGTTAAATTTTTGTTAATTTTTTTTGTATTTTTTGTTTTTTTAATGAAATTTAAAGATAAAGGTGAGTTCTGGTAAAAAGAAAGAAAATGAATTCTCACAGAATCAAACAATACTTACACACTGCATGTTCAAGATTACAAATAAATGTCATTTGCCAAACAATTTTGGTAGTAAATGTATACTGGCTGAGTAATGAGCATAGAAAGATTAGGAGATCAAGGTTAGTAGCCCCGACACCATTTGTGTAGTCCCATACAGATCTTTCTGTGTACAGTACTTGTTACTTAACCAAGACTGGGCAAAATTTATTATGACTTTGATGACTCCAGAACTTTGCAGTACACATCAATACTTACATGCTACATGATCAACTTTTTCTGATCCATTCCACACCTTTTCTTTCACAATGCAATCAGATGACCAGAACTCACCTTTATCTTTAATCAAATTCAAAATGTTTAAAAGATTTTAATTTTTGATATTTTTTAATTTTGTTGATGCAGGATAGAAACAAAAAATACTCTTCCTTCTTTTCGAGGTACTGGTTAAAACTATGGGCCTGGGTGACTCCAATAGTACCACTTGCTTCTCTTGCCCGTAGTTTCAACCAGAACCTCTCAAGACAGTGTATATTTGTATGCTATTTTAGGTGATTAAAAAATGTAAAACAAATTACATATGGTATGCGTCAACATAGGGAGACAAGTGATCAGATATTTGATTGTCAGGTCAAAGTTCAAAGGTTGTAAAGATCAATCAACATGTATTTATATATCTAGGCTTTTTGTTCTCATTGTGATATTTAAAGATTGATTCAAGCCCTGATCTTAACTGAATTTAGGCAGAGGCATACTGGAGATGCAGTCATATTTCTCTCGAGTTTTTTCAAAATAAAATGTGTGATTGTCAGAGAAACTATGCATTGCTGAAATGTCCTTGGAAAAATTATTCCAGTGATATTCATGTACAAGTGTCATGTAAACCTAAATTACTCAGATTTTGAATGCCCTTAAACTGAATGAAATCAAATAAGTTCAGACAAACATGTATATGTAGGACTTTGTGTCTTTGAGTACATGCACCTCGTCGTAGGTCACACTATTAGCCCAGAGCCTTTACAATCCTTTTAGATGTACCTTGTAAAGATCAAACTATGTTTACCTTTAGATATCATGTGAATATGGATTATCTATGTATTTTTAGGAGGACCATCACGACTGTCAGAATCACAGACCAAACCTCTATCTCCTGAACTGGTTAAGCGGTGTGCAATTGATTTCAAGTTCAAGTACAGGTCAACTCTTTGTAAGATCAGAACTGATCCTCTCAATCCTGCTTCCACTGTGCAGTTTAAAGACATGTATACTAATCTCTACTTACAAGAAGAGCATGGGACAGAGAAGCGAAAGCTAGATTACAATGATATTCTTGACCTCAAAGTCAATGGAGAGTTCCCCAAGCGGATCATGATTCAGGGAGAGGCAGGGGCTGGAAAAACTACATTTTGTGCTAAGATTGCCTGGGACTGGATTGAAGGGAAGCATTTCAGTGACTTTGTGTGGGTCTTGATTGTTCCTCTACGTGAATTTAAGCGACACACTATTGGCGAGATTGCAAAGTCTTATCTGGACAAAAGCAATCCAGCAACAGTTTCTCAGATTACTGAGTATATCCGCTCAAATCCTGACAAGGTGTTCATTGCATTCGATGGGCTAGACGAAGTCAGTGGCAAAATCATGAAGACAAAATCTTGTGAATCACAGTCTACTGATCGAACGCAACTTCAGCCATCACAGCCAAGGGTCACCTCCTCAGAGGCATGCAGAAGCTCATCTGAGACTGGTGATATTGCACTTGTAGATATTCTTTGTTCGGATCAACTTGCCTCTTGCCCAGTCTTGGTGACGACTCGCCCATGGAGAGCAGTAGAGTTTAGATCAGATGGTGATCTAATGAAGCTCTACACATTCATTCATGTTGAGGGTTTCGACAGAGAGAATTTGTCAGTTTACATTCACAAATACTTTCCAAACAATGATGATAAAGCAAATCAGCTTATCCAGTTCACCAATGATAACGATGTCATATCTGAAAACATGGCCCACTATCCTATATATGTAGCCATGTTGTGTCTCATGTGGAAACAACTTGACGAGCGAAAACTAAAGGAACTGAAATCACTGAAAACTTTTTCTCAGATATTCAAAGTAATGATTGTCTTTCTAAAAGAACATTATGCTCAGAAAAAGGAGAAGAAGGCAGGCAGCCCCTCACTTATTGCCTATTTGAAACAAATTGACGAGCTCCTTGGACCGATTGCCAAACAGGCCCTCAATGGTCTGCTAGAAAATACATTGGTTTTCGGTGAAGATGATTTTGAAATATGCCCTGAATCCATGGACACTGCCTGTCGGGTTGGGATTTTGTCTCAGGAGGACAGAATTACCGATAGCATGGACATACATCAGAGGAATTCTCATGTGCAATTGCCAGTCTTCTTCCCTCACAAACTGTTTCAGGAGTATATGGCTGGAGTCCATCTTGCTTCCCTGTATGAATCGGATCGTAATGAATTCAACAGGTTGATTGAGCAAGTAGTGCTGCCAAGGAAGGAGGAGTTTAGGTATCTCCTCTTCTTCACTGTGTCACAGAACAAGAGTATTGCAACCCATGTAATGAGCTCTATCCTTCAGAGAATGCACATGAACAGAGCGGCATCACAGGAACAGATTGATTTCATTGTTGATGTAGCCTTTGAGAGTCAGGACCCAGATGTAGCAGCCTTGGTAAAGGACAGGGTTTCATCAGAGGAGATTGAGCTGTACATAGACAAGTTCATGACAGCACACACTGTAGCTGGTTATGCATTCATTGGACTACATGTGGTAAGTTTAATCATAGTTTGATGAACAAAATTAGTTCATTTATTTTTGTTAAGTTCTTACTTTTACATCTTTTGCAATTTTCTTACAGTACAACTGTATAGTTATGGAAGGGTGCATCTTGACTAGCACATGTGCTATTACCTGGCCCCTTTTACCAACCAATAATTTCTCTTCTCGTAATTATATCATTGTATGAAATGTATGAAGACTGTATTGATGTTGGTAAATAAATCAAATCAAAGAGGTTTGAACAGTAATAATTTGGAAACTAGAACTGCGATCGTAGAACGATAGTGCATGCATTGGATAAATAAAGCAATTGGATGATCCTATGTACACAACACGCAACAATTATGCACACATCATTTCTCACTTATGGTTTTCCATCTACTTTGGCGTACATGGCCTTGCAGACCATTACGTTTTTCCCAGAATTATTCTGTTTTTTCCTCCAATTTATGGTAGTTCGTCTTTTCTACATAAAACAAGTTTTTTTAAATATATTTTTATAATTTTTGGTTTTTTTATTTTTATTTTTTACATACTGTCAAACAACTGCCCCAAAATGTTGATTTGATCACACATTAAATTAAAAACTAAGGTTAAAACATTCTGGAAAAAATACTTGAAGAGTAAAAATTCTCTAAAAAATGAGACGCCGATTTAATATACCAAAATACCAAAAGAAAATATCTACTTGTAAATAAAATATAGGTCCTAATATGGAAAAAAACAGCATGATCGAGGAATGAACATTTCTGCATTGGAAGTGTGTCGCACGTGGTTGTAAGTTTTGTGTTAATTAATTCCTTTTTTTTTGCCATCATGGTTCATTTTTTTGGTCGCACAAGGCTGGCAGCTCTGGCCTTGCATGCTAACATAATAATATGTGACACATATAGTGCAACACATTGTAATGCAGGATATAAAACAAGACGACAACTCGTCCTTTAAAATTGAAACCCCCATTTGACTTTCACTACTCCTAGAGCTAAGCCTAAAATAAACACTAGCGCTATACAATGTAATCCCCTGCCTAGACCTTGACAGGGTGATAGAGAGGAAGAGAGGAAGGGAGAAAGAGTGCTAATTTTTACAATTAAAATTGTTGTTATATCGCCAATTCTGGGTCATTTTGCTTCGTTCAAACTTTCATTATGATCTTCATCTAAATTATAAGTGACTTTTGGACATGAAAATATCTTAAAACTAGTAAAATATATATTTCCTACTTCTCATTTCCTTCAGGCAGAGCCCCAGTAAGAGTTTGTGTACACTATAACGTAAGATGATGAAGAGTACAGCTGTCATCTCTCACACAGAGCTATGTCCAAGTTTAAACTAGAGAAACGAAAGTGGGGTTGTGACACCCCACCTGATTTACATTGGTTCCAGTGTTATAGTGGCGGGGTCTGTCAAAGTCTTAACGGGAGAAATGAAAGTGGAGTCATGATACCCCACCTGATTTACATTGGTTCCAGTGTTATAGTGGTGGGGTATAGTTTTAACGAGAGCTTTTCGTAATGATGGCATCTAAAAAGTTCTGATTGAAAAAGTTTAAAATCCAGCTGTGAGATATGAACTGCGTTTGGCCACCCAGTATATACTTTTTCTTCAAGATAAAGAAAAATTCGGAAGGGAGCAAAAATCAGCCAAAATTGATGTCGATCATAGCAGTTACAATTGGGCGTAATCCGAAATGTGACCTGCTTTCAATTTTGATTTACAACATTCTATGTGTGGACATATACCATGTATGGTACTATTTTAAAGAACATTTCATTACGGTCATCCACGCTAATGTAGCATGTAAACGCATTGTAATGTACGTGGTGCATAGCAAATTCAGCATTTTTTACAAAAACCTTGTGGTGATCGAAACTTGGCAGGCAGTTGTCATGTAGGTTGATGCACATATCTGCCAAGTTTCATAGACCTAGGTATAAAGTTTGCAAATTGAGCACATGTTGAAGTTATTTAGGAATTTTCCTGAAAAGTATGGTTTTCGAGAGCAATTGTTTGCAGTGGTAGGTTGCATTTCTTTCTCCTTTTTTTGCTGAAAAGCGTATATCTTGAAGTATCTATATCCAAAAAAGGGTAATGATTAAGCCAGGCATGATGGAGCTATGGCCACATAAACACATCAATTTTCAGAACATTGGAAGGCGCTATACATATCATGCGTGACCATTGATGTGTGAAATTCAGCAGGAACGTGTGCAATTGCAAAGATAAAGATGCTGTAAAAATCTCAGGCAGAAAGGAATTGAGATGACAAAGTTCAGGCCTGATAATTACCTGATGTAAATCAATTTCCCGATGTAAATCAATTTCCCAATTTTTTACTCAAGGGGGGGGGGGGGGGTGGTTGAGATTTTTTTTTTTTTTTTTTTTTTTTAGTGCTCTCACCCCTGAAAGATATGGTAAATTTTCTTTTTCAGCACTCAATATTGTAAAATAATTAATGATTCTTGAAAGAGTCGATATTTGACTAAAATATAAAGTATAAAGATTGCATTTTGAAGTGCCATTTGTAGGTCAAAAACGAAGAGCAACTCTTGCACTATCTAGAGTAATTTCTTAGAAGTTTGTAGCAACTAGGATAGTGGAGATACATGTACATGTAGGTAGCCTGAAAAAATATGCATACAAAATCTGAAAGGAATTTGGAAAGAGAAAGGGACCTAATTAGAATTAACAAGCACTGCGTGCAAAACGAACGTGATTTGGGTGGAAGAGGAATAAGATAAAGAATTCAGAACGCGCAAATTTACAAGGCATTGACGAGGACGTCAATGCAAATACACTTAAGCTATGCATGTACTGGCACGTGCATATAATATATACGAAGTGCATCTATACCTTTAAGTTGAGATAACATTTTGGGAAAGGGAACTTCATCAATAGTTTGCACATTTTCATCCCTTACAAAAAAAATATTGGTTTGTAAGTGTAACAGGGCACACAGGAATCTTTTTGATATTCTTGCATAATTGGTGTTATTGATATTGCAACTCTTAACATACGGTACGTGTACATGATTACTGTAGAACAATTCAACCTTTCTTCTGCTTCACTCTCCCTTGGTAAGACTGAATACATGTATGTGCATGCTCATGCACGCAGGGGGTATCAACATGATACTTCTTTTCTCCTTTGCGAGCCTCAATTTCTGCTCCGTATCCACCCTTTAAATTTAGTGATTGTGTTCTTATTAACATTTATAAATGATTAAGTTTTGAGGCACCAGATGGTCACGGTGAACTTAAATAATCTCCTTTGAAACCTGTTTTTTAGACTTATATCCTCCCTTTTATGTTGTTTAAGGATTCTCTGTTTAGTACATGGTAAACTAAGATGAGATATTCCCACTGTCACAAAAATAGAAATTTGATATGAAGTGGCATGGCAATAGTTCTTCAGCCTGTACCCTTATTTATTTCCTTTTCCCTCTTACTCTTGGTAGTTCTAGCAGCACATCTTGGGCAACCGCTCATGTAGGTTACACATGTCCACATGTATGCCTAACATCCAAGTAAATGTCTATATTCTGCATCCCATCAGTAATCACTTTGTCATTTTGTCATTTTTATTAAGGTTGAACTCAAAATTATGGGACATTTTGGACCTGCCGGTACTATGTCACTAGATTTGGCAGAGATAATAATGTGCTCCATGCCATCCTTGAAGAAAGCTTCTCTAACCTCTCTAGCATTCAATCATCAGTTTTTTGAAACACTTGCAAGGAAAGGAAAAGAATCAAAGGTGAGCAGTTTATCCACAATTGTGATGTATGATATGTGTGAGTGTTTAATTTAATTTCACCTCATTACCATTTCTTCCCTTTTCTAATCTACATTTTACTTTTCTTTAATTATTTTAAATGTCTCTCATGTATGCTGGTTCTTTTGACAGAAGGATATATCAATGGTCTTTCACTAAGGCAGAAGCAGTGTTAACAAAAGCATTTAAGTGTGAATACTAACCATTAAAACCTAGAGGATAGTCGGGGAGTAAGCCGTTATATGCTTATAATAAATAATAATAATCTATATAGTAATACCGTAAGGATTTTGTGGATTTGGACGCCGTCGGTTTATTCCCTGCTGCCCCCCAGAACGCGCCCCCGGGTGGAACATGCAGCCAGGGTGCCGGAGCCGAGCCTCACCGGGTTCGCAGTTCGCGAAAGCCCGCCGCTCGGCTGCAAAATATGATTTTCCATCACGGGCGCCATCGACAGAGACGACTTGGATGGTTCGCAACCCGCCATGCCCACCGCCCACCCTCGTACAGACGGTCCAATGTTGCCGCAGGCGCTCGCAAATACCACCCGTCCATCATTGGTGATTTTCCAGTGATCAGTGAACAAACATAGCGTTGTACCGGGCGTCCCCAGACAGTTCTTCCCCAGACAGTTCTGTGTGCAATTCAGATCTTTCAAAACACCGAAAGAAGGACAGGGAAGAAGAAAAACAAGTAGCTTGAATGTCCGTTTAACAGAACAGTCTTCATGAAAGAGAGATCCATGAACAAATGTAGCTTTGTACCAGGCGTCCTTATTTCTTCCCCAGAAATCAGTGGGTTCTACAATGGAAGGAACTCGAGACTTAACTCATAGCCTGCCACAAGGCTGCATGCACGCTATCGCTATGCTGCTTCGTACATGCGAGAGAGCTACCTATTGAGTGCCATGTGCGTGCAATGCAGCATTCGTAATAGCAGTTATTGTTCATGCTCATTGGACTGTGCTGTGTGTTTTGCACTCGCCAATTATAGAACCATCGCGTTAATCAGATTATCTCCAAAACAACCTGGCACGGGGGGATTTGGGGCTTGGCACAATGGGGATTAGCCCTGTGGCATGATAAGAGTTAAACCTCTAAAAATGTAAATGATGATCTTAGACAGTTCTTCATGCAATTAAGATCTTTCATAACACCGAAAAAAGGACAAAGAAGAAGAAAAACAAAAAGCTTAAATGCCTGTTAAACAGAACAGTCTGTACAGAAGAAAAAATGTTAGCAAGCACAGGGTTCCCAGGTATACAGCATGCGTCTTATTTTTTTGTATCATAGCGAGCCCAGATTGAGCTACACGTTCTTTTTCTTCAAAACATTCTCAGGTGGGTTAGCATCGACTACTATGCTTTGCTGCAGTGGGTTAGTACCTTAGGCATAATTCTTTTATTATCCCCTCACCGACGAAGTCGGAGGGGATATAGAAACGCTTCTGTTCGTAACAAATTTGGTTTCCAATCGATAACTTCAGTAATGTTTGACAAAGTTTAATGAAATTTGATATAAAGGTACATAGTATCAAAATACAGGTTAAGTTCGATGTTGGAGTATGTAGGTCAAAGGTCATAGCTCATTAAATATGCGAACAAATACACATCTGGTTTCCGATCGATAACTTTAGTAATGTTTGACGCATTTTAATGAAATTTGATATGAAGGTACATAGTATCAAAATACAGGCTAAGTTCGATGTTGGAGTATGTAGGTCAAAGGTCATAGCTCATTTAATATGCGAATCTGGTTTCCAATTGATAACTTTAGTAATGTTTGACAGATTTTAAAATTTGATATGAAGGTTCGGGGTATCAAAACACAGCCTAAGTTAAATTTTGGAGTATGTAGGTCAAAGGTCATAGCTCATTAAATATGCAAATCTGGTTTGATAACTTTATTATTATTATTATTAGGCATTTAGCTACGCTATTCATATTACACTATATCACAGCGCTTACAATAATATGCAATATAACAATATAACCACAAATCTTAACATAACATTGAACAAACAAAAAATAATAGCGAATCAAGTAGGAAATACATGTAAGTAGGTTTTAAGGAGTTTCTTAAAAACATCCACTGATGGAGCAGCTTTTATACTGGAGGGAAGTTTATTCCACTCCTTAGCTGCTGCAACAGTGAATATGCGATCTCCTGTGAATGTGCGATCTCCTACCTTACTACGAGCCCCTACCTTACTACGAGCCACATGAAAAGTTAATCGAAATGGGTCTGCATTGACTTTGATAATAGTTTAAACATATTTGTGGTTAACTTCCTTGCCTAGTAATATAATAGTATAGTCTAATGGAAGTAATTTGTTCTGACGTATATAGGCCAATTTTACCCTGCGAAGGGGATGCTACTTTTTGCGTTGACTTGTTTCAAGTTATGTCCATAAATATAGACTTTCTGGGTTTTCGAACACCCGGAAAGTGTAGACATACATTTATAAGTGAGTCAGCTCATGAGCCAGCACAGCTCGAGCTCCCTCGCCTGGCCTGCCCTGGCCTGGATAGAACGTTAACGTTAGAAGTCAATGAATAAGCGAGAGAGTGTGATCGTTATGACTACTGCATGTACTGAGTCTGACCTTATCTCGAGAATAGCATATTTCAATGTAAATCTATAAAACACTATTTCACAAGATATGTTCTCAAATGTGATTTCAATTTTTATATATTCTATTGATTGGATTAGTTGAAGATGGGGGAAAAGAAACAAAACAAAGGTAAAATTATGATTACAATTATTTTTTGTTTGTATGATTACAATGATACTGTTTTTGGTTTTTGCCTGGGGTGAGGACTGTCTTCTTTTTTTGGGTTAAAGGTAAAAAAAAAAAGGGGGGGGGGGTAATGTGCACTATTTTTTTATTTTTGGTCACCGAGGGCAGTGAGCACTTTTATTTTTTTACTCAACAAACCCCCCCCCCCCCCCCCCCCCCCTTGAGCAAAACAAAAAAGAAGGTAAAATTATATTTGTTTGGTTGCCAAGGGTGGGGGCCCGTCTTCTTTTTTTTTAAAGGTAAAATTGTGTTTACCATCTTTGTTTTTTCCTTTTTTTTGGCCAGGGGTTGGGGGCCCATGCCCCCCATGCCCTCACCCTGGATCCACCACTGGCAGTCAAACTCATCCTAATGTCAATACACTTTCAATGCCTGGGGATTTCCACGGGTTCCACTAGTAATAATAATATTCCACTTTTATATAGCGTTTAATACAATGTCTCAAAACGCTTTACATTTACCCCGGTCATTGGATTTAGTGCTTGCCCGCACTCACTGTGTGCACAATCTCCATTCCCTGGGGAGCATTCCAGCCAGGCGTTACTTGACGCTCAAAATCTGTTTGACCAAAAAGATGGTCGCATCCTACCGGGTACCCATTAAACACCTGGGTGGAGAGTAGCAAGTGCAGGTTAATATCTTGCCAAAGGATATTAGAGCCGTTTCGGGATTCGAACCCTCGACCTTTGCATCTTCAGTCAAGCGCCTTGAACCACTCGGCCACGACACTCCCACTTGAATGCTCTAAAAGAAACTCACATACATGTAGGTAAATCACAACATACTTAAAGGGGAAGTCCACACTGATATTCAGTTGGTTTTAATAAAAGCAGAAAAATAAGAAAAACAAATTATTGAAAATACAAAAGTCATGAATTTTTGATGATGTCATCAGTGGAACACATATTTGCCACACTGTGATGTATCTTGTGAGCTCCTCCCCAATTTGCTCTGTATAGAAAATTTCATGAACTTTCATTTTCTTAGTTATTGATGACGGAATAGATTTTTTTCATACAGGAGTTGCATTTAAAAAAAACTTATTTGTGATAATTATATTTAGGGTGAATGTATGATTGAAAATTTTCTTAAAGGTACTATGTCCCTTTTGCAGCCAACCTCAAATTCTGTAGAACTTTGCAGGAATTATGAATATGTCATGTACTGTATGTCCTATCTGTGAAATTTAAACGTTAGCAGTGTCCTTATATTCAAATTATGCAAGGAAACCCGTTTACTTGCTAGACTTCACTGTCAGACACTATTGAGTGACTGACTGGCTTTTTTCTTCTTTGGTAATAACATACATGAAAAGAGTTGTAAAGGGTACATGAGCATTTGTCTACATCAATAACCCACTTCTTGTGATGGCCAAGATTAAACTGATTGAATCTTTGCGCAGCATAAAACGTATGACCATTCGGTACAATTGTCTGAAAATCAAGACTATTACTTTTGGGCTCTATAGCCCTAAAGTCGATTTGACAACTAATAGTCATTATTTTCCCACTTGAAGACATTTTCAAGCCCCACCCTTCTTAGGGAAGTTCTAAATAAGTATTATCTTTCAAATGCAGTTGGAATTTAACTTTTTCATTTTTTTGGCTTGCAAATGGGACATAGTACCTTCAAGGAAAACCATCATTTTTTGAAGTATTTTTATTACAGGGTCAAAGAGAGGGGACCTTGCAAGATTCAATGTATGTCACAAAGTTGCCAATTTGTCTTTTATTGAACGCACCTTAAAAAATAACTTTCTTATTTTAAAATCGGCTTTTACTAAACCTTTCACTGACCTGTTAATCTTATTTTTCTGCTTCTATTAAACCAACTTAATATCAGGGTGGACTTCCCCTTTAATATGAAAGATGTACGTGGTAAGAATATTTCATTCAAGGAAGTTCCAAGGAAAAAAGTGAAAGAAATTATTAATCTTATGATTATGTCTAGAAGTGGAGCCTTATGAATGAAAACAAAATAGAAAGAACATGTAGTAAAACATTTGGTAGATGACAATAATATACTGATTTTTTAGATAAATACAAATTGTCATTTTAGGTTACATCCAATGGGAAGAAATAAGAAGGAAGAGGGATTCTTGCCTTTAATTTGGACCTCTGATGTCTTTTAGTGTTTTTAACATTCGCATTTGCAAGAAGAGATTTTGCATGATCAAATCACGTCTTCATCAGCTCGAAACTCGAGCTTGAGAAACTTGCTCAGTGTTTGCGCGTGCTTAGTGCGAGATGGACTCCTCTAAAAGCTTCTGGTATATCTTTTAGTCCTTGTTCCTGTACTTGCAACAGCGTCGAAAAATCGCGTGCATGGCTAGTGAAGACGGACCACAATTAGCGGGCTATTTTGCAAACTAGCCCAAGAAATCTTGGGAAGATTTCCGGTGTAAATAGCACGCTATTTGCATCTTCACCTGCCAAATAGCTCGCTATTTCGTGATCTGGCAAATTTCCCGGATCAGAAATAGCCGGGCTATTTGGCCAACTCGGGCTGATGAAGACAGGCCTTCTCTCTCTTTCTCGATTTCAATGCTATCCACTAACCCCCTTGAGGTGCCTGTTTTGAGGGCAATGCCTACAACTTTGAAAAGTGTGGGGTATGGTTTTGATCGATATTAGAATGATGTAAAACATTGGGTTAGTTTACTTATCAAACCGGGACTTAATTTTAATTGAATCTCAAATTGGGCTTACATGTTTTTTGATCTGTATGAACATCAAATAAATCATTGTATTCAACTGGTTATATAACACTGGATGGCAGTGTGTGGGATAAGGCTTGGAGGTTTACAGGTGCTATATACGAATTAGGGATGTTTGTAAGAAACTTAAAAGTTTATTATTAGGAAACTATCGTCATGTATTTCACAGGTGAGTGTCCTACATTGTATTAACTAAATACAGATCCGTGGGTATTTCACAAGTTGTATTACTATGACATCACTATTTTAATAAAAATGGCAATACCCATGGGAGAATGGGTAGCAAGGAAACTACAAAATGTGGAGATACTGTTTTCCTTGCTAAGTAATCAAATAGGAGTAATTTAAAGATATTTTTGCCCGGCTCACAATATTTTTTAGTAAGGCTGTCAGTTGAAATCTGTTGGATTTCATATTCCTTAAAGATTACGAGTGGAATATTAAAGAACACAAAGACCTTTGTGAAAAACTGAACCTTAACTAAGTCCTTGCTTGTACTAGGAAGGGTTGTTCCTAACTATTCTAAGCTCTGGCAGTTAGTCAACATCTAACTAACTATTGGAATCCATAAAGCCCCACCAGATCTGTATAAGGAAGATAATAAAGAAACGCATCCGTTTCACCTAACTAATCTACATACTTAACATCTTGCACCTAAAAAGATCTGAAAGCACTAACCCCCTACGCGATGCAACACTGAATTGGGACAATCTAAACAAGAGTGAACGTTGTGGCGTAGTGCTTGAGAAGAAGTAAAAGACCACTTAAATAATACTTTTTATTAATTTCTTTTTTGTCAGACATGAGTTGAAGAAAAAAAATGATTCATTTGTTTTTGTTAAGAACGTGAATATATACAGCTGTATTATGCATATATACATGTAGTTTGTGGTAAATATAAGAATGCAATGAGAAAATTTAGTTGAGTTTATGAACTTTATTGACAAACAATGCAGATCCAGACTCTCAGCTTTCAAGATATCACGTGTCCCACACCAGCTTCATCACATCACCTAGCAAAAGCACTTTGTTCTATGCCAAACCTGACTGACCTAATACTTGCAGTGAGGGGGGTCACTGAGGAGTTCTACTCTACATTGAAAGCAATGTCATCATCCATAAAGGTATGTGTGTTCTAAAGTAAATTTCATGGAGAGGGTCATGATATAAATAAGAGCAGTAATGATTATATGGTGCACATATATATATATATATAGTTATTTCTAATTTTAATTTTTTGTAAAGTTAAATGCCATTCACTTGATACGTCGGAATAGTCATGGAATGAAAGCAAACTACACTTTCTTGTTTTAGATTTTATTGAAACATTACATTTTTTTAAATATGTCATCTTTGTCTGAATAGACCCTCAATGTCACCTCTCCACTTTCTTCTAATTCTCATTCCTACCTCTTCCCTTTCTCATTCTCACCCTTCCCTTTTTTTGTATTGCTCTCATATATTTGTGTGTGACTGTGGGTGTGGGCATAGACATGGTTGATATCCACTGTAGGAAATGTTTGGTTTTTCTTTTCCCCTTCTAAATATACATATTCAGTCAGTACGCTGCTGCACGAAAAACACCTGTATTTATCCTAGTCGTATGCAAGCCAAGCGCTCAATATGCATACGTAATGAGCACACAAGCTTGAAAACACAGACATGTTTCCACCTATACATAATGGTATCTTGTTAATTATTTTACATGAATGATATGTCAAATTGAAGAGGGAAAACTGCACTTTCATTAATCTGAATTAAAAATGAACTGGACTCCATTACCTTATGAAATATTTCTCGTCAAGTAAAAGCTTACCTTTTCCCTAATTTCATCGAGTTTATGATGTAAGTGAACGCATAAAAAACATATAAAACGAGCCATCAATTTTTGTCTCGCCTGCATAGCAAAAAGCGAGACATAGGCGCCGCTTCTCCGGCGGCGACGGCGACGGCGGCGTCAACATCAAAAACTTAACCTAAGGTTAAGTTTTTGAATTTTTGATATAATTTTTAAAGTATAGGTTCTTAGTCAATGAAACTTTGACTATAGGGTAATCAAGTATCCCTAATCATGTGAGTAGAATTTCAGATCACAAAGTCAAGGTTAAAGGTCATTTCAGGTCAACGGACTTGGACTATGTTGTAGCATCATCATCGAAAACTAAACTAAGGTTAAGTTTTTGAATTTTTGATATACCGGTAATTTTGAAAGTATGAGTTCTTAGTCAATGAAACTTGGACTATAGGGTTGTCAAGTCTCCCCAATCATGTGAGTAGAATTTCAGGGCCCGTATTCAATAAACTTCTAAGACATTTTTCTTAAGTCTAAGAAAATGTCTAAGAATTTGTCTAGGTTAAGAAAGTTGCCTTAGCCGTATTCTAAACACGTAAAGCAGTTTGTCTTAGCCAAGACGAAAGATAAGACCCGATGACGTCATGTGGGAAAGTTGATGTGGTCGACTCGAGCGAATTAATTGCAACTCGATTTGCCTATGTAATTTGCGTGTTAAAATAAAAATCGCACCGCACGAAAATTATACACTAACATGTATGGGAGAGCGTAAGGGAGGAACGATGCTCACATAATTATTTCGGGATTGACCAACTGACACTAAAACAGTCTAGTCAAGACCACCTGAGGCTAGATCTAACATCCACTGTAGGCTTTTTATACTTTTCTGTCAAACAACTCCGAGGAGCCCAACCGGGCTTACTTATTATGTCGCAGCCGCAGGTCTGTGAGTATGAAGGGAGCGCCGTCGCTAGCCGGCCGACCAGCGCTAGCTAGCATTGGATTTGGAGCTACCCTTTCATTGTTTTACATCGTCTACTGTTATGATGGCCTAAAATTAATCAAATGGCTAAATGTAACCTTTATCAGACTCATACTATAACAAATTTTGTCTCACCTAATATTATGCCGATTGCACATTATTCCCTGTTTCCATACTTTAGCGCCAAAGACTAATAAAGTAAGAGACGGTTTCTTTATATACGACAGCCATGTCATGATTTAGTGTTATGCATACTTTATGCTACTACTCGTTTAGTTGTGTACAAACAAACATACTACTAGTACAAAGAGCCTATGGCGCTCCTGCGCGCTGCGCCGTCGACGCTGTATATTACGCGAAGCTTACGTTGTTATATAGGTCAACTGATAACCTGCGCTCGCGCTGCGCGCGCTGCATGCATTGTTTTTATTCCATTTAATCGAAACCCGAAGCGGTTGCTTGCAGCATCACTGAGCTGCCGGTGCCAAAGCCCCATTTAAGCATCCTCGTAGTATTCTTAAATATAGGGGGACGCAACTTTTACGTCACTTCCGGTTTCCCACGGTCGCCGCCATTTTGTCGCGGTGAAAACATCGTCTGCGCTAGGTGAATACAAATACACGTAGGTCTACACGCTATAGCTATATCGAGATCAGTATTACCAGTGTAATTGCGTTCATTTATCTAGCTCAAAATGTCATTCAACTACACGGAACAGCTCAGTTACGATGCAAGGCACCGTTACAAAGTAAAGTTGGACTCCGTTGGCCTGGAAAAATGCCCTTACAAGCATCCAGCAGATGTTTGGATAGATGATCCAAAGGCTTGGCCGCGCATTGAATATGCCGATGTCTACTGCTACTTAGTTGAAAGCCACGGTAAGTTGAATGTCTAGTCTAAGTAGAGTCTAGACTAGTAGTATTAGTAGTCTACATTAGATTTTTTCCTAGATCTATATCTAGTCTATATTGGATCTTGGAGGGATTTATCTTGAATGAATTGTTTGATGATATTCTCTACGTATTGGTCACAAGCCCATGAATCCATGATTTAACCCGATTTATTGTAGTAAGAGTAAGAGTAAGACTAGGGTGTCTGATCGCGCACCCGATGTTGTGTGCTAAAATCTTTCCCATATTATAGAGATTGCACACATCCCTATGTGGTCTACATGCATTGCGCGACCAAGCAAAATTGGTCAATGGTTTTATGAAAAATTTGAAATTCAAACCTTTATAACAAATGATCCTGAAGGTGAAACTCAATAAATGTGGTGTCATATGAAAGAGCAGGTTTTTCTCCATATTCCCCATAGGGGGCCACCCCCGGAATTCTAAAAATATCTTGCTCAAAACAGCGATTTAAACATCGTTTCCATGGTAACTCGGAGATTTACCAATTTCACGAACTGCTCCCCCGAGGGATAAGTTGGGCCAGCTGTAAAGAATATATCCATGCACTTATTTTTTCTCTAGTCCCAAGGGATCATTTGTTACAACAGTTTGAAAATACCCTTGCTCCACACTTTGCATATCGTGCTGTGCATTAGCTGTGCAGCTTTTGAGCAGAAATTATAACTCTGCGTGAACCACTTTTCTGTCCATTCTGACCAAAATGCTATGAATATTGCACAATTTTTGAGGGGCTGTATCTTTTGATAGAAACATCGGTGAGTCTTGAAATTTGAAAGGTATTAGACTAGACCTATTCTCATTACATTTTTTATTCCAATATCAAACAAAAATGGTGAAAAACGATCCCAAATTGAAAATTGAAAAATCGTTCAGACACCCTAGTAAGACTAAAGTTAGAGACGAGTAAGAAAGGGCAAGGGCCACTTTTCTAATTCTAATTTCTAGCCCAAACTGGCAAAGGCAAATTTACATTTTGTACTAAAAATTGTAGGCACCCGAAATCTAGACTAGATTATCTAGATGTCTTTGTAAATCTTAGGTTGAACTAAAGTACAGAAAGTACTAGAAACATCAACTTAGTTTGAAACACCGTGACCTGCTATGGCGCTAGTTCAGAAGTCTAGATCTCTATCCAAACTTTGATTGACCCGAAACTCCGGCGTGAAGATACCCAAATGAATTAAATATTCATCAAATGTCCAAATAATGGTTATGATTTAAAAGTCGATGTTTGGTACCTGTTTTGTGACAATTTTCTGATTTTTTTTGGAGTATTTTTCCTAAAACAAAGACTTACACTGCAGCACAATACAATTGCATACCGTACCGATGGTGGTTTGCGGGCGCGCGCATGTGTTCAGTTAGGCCAAATAAAAAAATTAACATGTTTAGCGTCATGTTTTTTCGAAAAAAAAAGGAAGGAGGCCCTTTTTTTTCCTCAAAATGGCCGCTCGGTACATTTTCCCTGACAGTCGGGCTATCTTTCAAGATGGCCGCCAATTTTTTTTAATTTTTTCTAAATCAGAAATAGATTTTAGATCCATTTTAGCAAGTGTTTTTCATGTTTTTTTATTAAGCGTCCATAAACTAAGATTACAGGCGCCAACTTAACACACGCGCGCCCGCACCTGACCATCGGTACGGTATGCAATTGTATTGTGCTTCAGTTTGCACATCCGGTGTGTAAAGCCAATACGGGCTGGATTTTTGTGTACTACAAGCCGGACTTTGGTGCATGTACTGGACATTTTGGGAACACGCATGCGGTCCCTCCGACTCCGGTGTGGGGGGCGGGGGATGGAGCTCTTAACTTATAGCTCCATGGTTTGCCGTAAATCCTGTGAGAAAGTGCATAGAGTCTATTATAATATTTTCTATCCGTTTGATAATAATTCCTCAAATCAATATTACACAAATCATACTTTGTTACTTTGTCTTCAATTTATAGGCAGTATGCTTATTTCTCTTTTCTTTCTTTTAAATTCTTTTTTCCCCTTTCTTTTGCAGGGCCATTCTCACATGCCACGATGAAAAACTACCGCAGCTTGGAGGCGCACCAACAATTTCAATCAGGCTGGGTGCAGACTGTTTATCATCAGGTCACGTCCAAGGGGTTTATCATCTTCAGCGCAGCTGTCAAACCGTCTCAGCGCTTGAATGACGCTGCCCACAGTCCCTGGGTGGCAACCGATAATACCGGACAGGTTGTTGCAGCTCACTGTACGTGTATGGCGGGACTGGGGGAGTCGTGCAGTCATGTTGCAGCAGTACTCTTCAAAGTTGAGGCAGCAGTACGTCTAGGATATACGACACAAGCTTGTACTGATGTTGCCTGCCAGTGGAACAATAGGTTCGTGTCAAATGTTGAACCAGCAAAGATTAGGAACATTAAGTTTTACAAGGAGAAGGCAAAGGACAGCATCAAAAAGGACAGTGTTAAGAAAAGGAAGTGGTCTCACTGCACCAAGGACGAAGAAGATGCTTTTATTTCTTCTCTCATGGAAACCGACAAGAAACCGGTGGGACTTAGTTTGTTTGAGGGACTTCCTTGCCACCTATTTAAAAGGAACCCAGCCATGACACCCCAACGTAAACTCCCAGCTCCACTCCCAGCTCCACTCCGTTCCTACTACACGCAAAGCACTGAACTCCAACCACAGAAATTCACAGACCTTCATCAGATCACCATATCAAAGGAAGAGATCGTCGAGATCGAGAAGGCCACAGAAAAACAAGCGGACAGCGTGGTCTGGCATGACCAGAGAGCTGGCCGAATCACTGCATCACGCGTGTACGATGTCCTCCACACAAATCAAGATAACCCAGCAAAGTCAGTTCTCCTCAGTATAACAAACCCCAACATAGCCCCAATCAACACTGCTTCCCTGAAGTATGGTAGGGATAACGAATCTCATGTACTTGAGGAATATTCTCGAACATGCAGCCACAATGACATAAAGATCACTCACACTGGACTACGACTGGATGCAGAGCGTCACTGGCTTGGGGCAAGCGCCGATGGACTTGTGGAGTGCAGCTGCCACGGAAAAGGAGTGATAGAAATTAAGTGCCCCTACTCTGCAAGAAGCATGTCAAGAGAGGAATACCTCAAGAGCGAGTACTGCTGCCTAGATGCGAACTCCAACCTTAAGTATGGACATCGCTATTACGATCAAGTTCAGAT